CTCTCTCACTCTCATAGATGAAGAAGAAGGTAAGAAAGAGGAAGAGGAAGGAGAAAGGAGAGAGAGAGATGGAGGAGGAAGAAGAAGAAGATGACGTCCTCCTTGCTATCTCACCTGCAGGTAGCTGTCACCGTACTGACCGTGGTCGTTGCCGTGTGCAGGTACCGCGCGGAGTCCCAGCTATGGCGCCAGGTAAGTTCGTCGCTCGCAGGTAAGGCCTCTGCTCTCTCCACTACCTACTCCGCTACTCCCTACTTCGTAGCTTGGCGCAGAATAACGCTGCTTCAACCAGCAGCATGTCGCTCCAGAAGTGAGCTACTCGAGCTGTCCTTGCTCAGCCGCTGCCCAGCTATTTGTAGCGCTGGGTGGGCTGGGCCTACCTGCTGCTGGCCTCAGAAACGGCCCAGCTGGTCTGGGTCCCTACCGGTCGTCCAGACCATGCTGCTGATGCAGCAAGGCGCAGAAATGCGCCTGGCCTAAAAACGGCCTGGTACCGGTGCACCTAGCCCAAGGCGTTGCCTTGGGTCCTGCAGGACCGAAACGACGCCTGCACTTACTGGTCTGGCGCCAAAATGCGCCTGGCCTCGTTTCGGGCCTGCCTCCGGTGTACCCAGTCCAAAGGTCCAGCCTTGGGGCTGCAAGTCCGAAACGGCACCTGACAGACAAGGTAAGACCACACACACACAGAAAGGTGAGTAAACTAACCTATTCTAACTAGTGTGCTACCTAGGGCCTGAAGGGCCGCCGTGGGCCTCGAGGACGCGTGTTGTATGGTACGCGGTCTGGGGCCCCCTCAGCAACCGTCGGGCCCCTCGAATGGGGCCCGTGTGCAGGCACAGCATGCAACACCCCCCCCTCCTTATGAAGTCAAGCCGGATCGAGGGCGAAGCTGACGATCTGAAGGTGGAACTTGGACGCGGGTGCGGCGTGGAGCCGAAGATGCCGGCTTGCCTTGCAACTTGCGTTCGTAGCGTGCGAGAACGTCGGGAGCTGTTGCTTGAAGTTCCGCACGGGTCAACCATCGGTCAGCTCTATGGGTGCAATATGCAAAGTGGACCAAGAATTCAGTCGGCCTGTTGTCGTAACGTTGTTGGGATATGATGTCGCCAACCTCTTGAAAACCGTCCATCGAGGGTGGGTCTTGCGATCGTCGCCTGGGAAAGTTGTCAAGTTCTGCTGGCGTGTAGAGAGCCAACTTGGAACAGAGAAAGACCAGGTTGACGGGCAAGTGGGCGGGGACCTGAATGATAAAAGGTCCTTCGGGTGCGTCCCCAGCGGGTGCCACGATCGGCCAGGGCCCCATCCATTTCGGAAGGAGCTTGCGAGAGATATCTTGTTCGAGGCTGAATTCCGCAGCGGAAACCCATACAAGGTCGCCGGCGCGTAATGGACAAGGAAGACGCTGGCGGTTGGCCTGTTGGCACATACGTTGCTGTGTCTTTGACATCTGGTCGCGTGCCTTGACAAGAAGCTCTTGCATCCGACCAATGAAGAGAAGATGGTCGTCGCTCTCGGCCCCCCGTGGGATGATTGTGTCCAACGGAGAATTGACCGACGAGCCATGCTCGAACTCAAATGGCGATATCCCGATAGCCGGATGGATGGACGAGTTGTATGCCAACTCGATATCCGGCAGCCGCTCGACGCAATCCTTTTGGTCGGGACGGATGAGAGTGCGAAGAAGGACTTGTGCGGTCTGATGTGCCCTCTCCGTTTGGCCATCGGTTTGGGGGTGGCGAGCCGAACTCGGCTTGAGGGATGAGCCCCATCGTTTCATGAGCGCCAACCAAAAATCGGACATGAACCGAGTGTCGCGGTCGCAGACAATCTCCTTGGGGTAACCCTTGGTTCGAATCCAACTGGCGTAGAGAACCTCGGCCAACACCTGTGCCTTGGCATAATAGCGGCAAGGCAAAAACATGGCAAACTTGGTGAGTCGGTCAACCACCGTGAGAATCCCCATCCACGCCTGTCTTGTGCTTGGGGAACGGCCCGGTAATGTCCATGGCAATCGCTTCCCTTCGGCGCAAGGGGACTGGTAATGGTCGCAGTTCGCCGTACGGACGATGATTGGGGGGGTTGCAATGTAGGCAAACCTCGCATGACTCACAATAGTGCGTGACGTCGTCGAGAAGACCGGGCCACTAAAAGCGCTCGCGGAGTCGGCCAATCGTGCGATTGACTCCAAAATGTCCGATGGCGGGGGCGTCGTGGAACTCGCCAAGAAGCCTTGTGCGCAAGTGTGAATCTTGCGGCACGCAAAGTAGATCCTTCCCCTGCAAGTGAATGAGCAAGTATCCCTCTTGGATCCGATAGTGCGAAGGCGCCAGATTGGGAGAGGAACAATTTGCGAATTTGTCGCGAAATTCGGGGTCGGCTTGATAGCCGCTGATGAAACTGTCCCGCAAGTCATCCTCTATTTCGAAGGTCGAGTAGACGGCGGTGCAGTAATCCAGACGTCGTGAAAGAACATCCGCGAAATGGTTTGACTTCCCCGGAATATGGTCGGGAAAGAAGTCGAACTGGTCGATGAACGCCATCCAACGGGTGATCGTGCTGTTGACGGTGTCTCGGGTCTTGTAAAAGACCAACGGATTGTTGTCTGTTACCCATCGGAATTGGCGTCGACCAAGGAGGAAGTGCGGCCACCGCTTGAGTGCGTGGACGAAGGCGAGAAGTTCCTTCTTGCGTGCATCATCGATTGAATGTACGACTGGCACTTTCTTGCTGAAGTATTCGACCGGGTGCCAGTCCACGCCATCATGTTGTTCGAGGAGGACACCAATGCCATAGCCGGACGCATCCGTAGTGACGCGCGTTGGCAATAGCGGGTCGTATATTCGCAAGACTTCCGCTGATAGCAATGCGGCCTTAAGGGCCAAAAATGATCCCCGCGCATCCGTCCCGAAGTCAAATGGTAGGTCCTCGCATTGAAGCTTGGATAAGTGGGCCGCAATCTTCGAGTATCCTTTGATGAAACGTTGGTAGTAGCCGGCAAGGCCAAGGAATGAACGGACATCAGTGACGTTCCGCGGCTCCGGCCAATCTTGGGTGGCTTGGATCTTGTCCGACAACGGACTGATGCCTTGTGGAGTGACGAAATGCCCCAAGTATTCCAACTCTTGACGTACGAACTCGCACTTTACGCGGTTGGCTTTGTACTTGGCGCGACAGAGCGTCTCCAGCACTCGTCGAAGATGCTCGAGATGTTCCTCCAAGGTTCGGCTATAGACGAGGATGTCGTCTAAGTAGACCAGCACGAACCGGTCTAACATTGCACGAAACTCGTTGGTCATCGCCGCTCGAAAAGTCGTTGGGGCGTTGGTGAGCCCGAAAGGCATGACGACCCACTCGAAATGCACGTACTGTGTCTTAAACGCGGTCTTGTAGCGATCTTGCGGGCGTATCGAAATCTGATGATACCCCGACTTTAAATCCAACTTGGAAAAAAAAATTGCGCCGCCCAACCGCTCCAAAAGGTCGTCAATACGAGGAAGAGGTCCCGTGTTCTTGACGTTTTGTGCATTGAGCTTGGGGTAATCGATGCATAGGCAAATAACCTCGTTCTTCTTCCGCACGAAGAGAACAGGCGCACCATAGGGTGAGCTACTAGGCCGGATCCATCCTTTGTCAAACAAATCGTCGAGCCGCGCTCGGAGTACTGTAAGTTCCTCCTCGCTCATGCGATAGATGCAACCTTTCAGCGGCACGGCACCGGCCTCAAGAATGACCTCGTGGGAGATCAGCCGATCCGGCACCACGCCAGTAGGTGACTCGAAGATGTCGCCGAATTCGTCAAGCAACCGTACCACATGGGGGTCCGAAGATAAGTCCGTGGGTTGTGATTCGGCTGCCGCGACGGTGCGAAGAAAACATAGGCCTATCTCGTCGGTCCACTCGTAAGCGCAAGTGGCCCGAAAAGATTTGGCTGTTACAACTTGGCACCGGATCGAAGGGTGCGGAAGAGGGATGGTACATGGTACTTCGGCGCCAAACGCGGCGCGGACCGTAAGTGTCCGCCGATGGAAGTTGACCGTGTGATCCGCACTTGCAAGCCAAGGCATGCCCTAAATGATGTCGAAGTCCGTGTCCAAGACGTCAAATGTCACCGGTTCGCATGCATGAGGTGCGAAATAGACCGGTACGGCCTCGATGTAGCGATCAAGGAGTTGTTGCGTCCTACCGTCCGCCAACTTGATCGTCGTAGGGTGTGCCTTCTTTCAAACTTGTGGTCCAAGGCCGTCCCTTTGCATAAAGGACTGGCTAATGAAGTTGCAAGTCGCGCCGCTATCCAGCAAAGCGCTGCAGGACGCTTGCCCAACTTGGATGCGGACATAAAGGAGCAGTGCGTTGTTGTCGTCGTACCGCTGCGTGCGAAACTCGCGGGTCACCTTGCGAACGTACGCAAGAATGTCCCCCACCGCGACCTCGTCCTTCGTTGGCGAAGTTGGTGGTGCGTAGAAGGCTAGGTATGTATGTAGATGAGCGCTAAGTGTTGCACATTGCGGCTCCAGTAAGCAGCCGGTGGATGGGAGAGGGAGTCATGCAAAATCCTCGGGCGTCAACGGGTCCAAGTCCTCTATGTTGAACGCGCGCGCCGAATCCCGTGAAGGTCCACTTGAAGACGACTCAACTCCGCTGCTTCCAATCGGAGAAGAAACCGCACATACATCTTGTCCTTGGGCTCGTGAATTCAGCGAAGGTACGAGTCGGGCAGCATAGTCCTCAAAAGCATGAAGAATGGGAGGACTTACGACTTTCGCATGTGCCCCGGAACTGAGGGAGGTCACCCGTACGGCAACCGGTTTCGAAGGCATCGAGAGTGTCGTCGCATCACTCTCGGCGGTGCTCACTTTCCCGACTGAGCGGGGCCCTTGGCTTTCGTGGGACAGTTCACGGTCTCATGTGCTGCGCAGTTGCACCACAAACAATAACGGTACTTGTTGTGGACGCGATACCCGCGCTCCGTCAGCCCGTATTGTGTCCAAGGTTCTTGAGTTGGAGCAACTTGTCCGGGCCCAGAAGAAGTGGTGTTTGTCTTCGTTTTACCGTGCCCTCGTCCTTTGGCGGGGCGGCCACCATTCTGGGCAGCTGCTAGTCCGTCTCCCTCGTCAGACGAGGCAGCCTCGTTTGAAGTTGAAGGGTCGCTTGGCGTTGCTGCCGCGACCACGGCCACTCTCGGTTGATGCTGATACGCACCCTGGCCGGCTGTCGACGAACGGCCAATGTTCTTGGCTTCCAAGTTCGTCACAATGATCTGCGTGACCTTGTTGAAGAGTTCCTCACTTGTGTTGAGGTTCTCCGCGACCTGATTTAACGCATTTTGCAACGCTGGGCACGACCTCTTGATAAAGTAAAGCTTGATGCCGTCGAAGTTCAGCGGCAGCTTGGGCGTGCTTGCCACACGTTGGAACTCAGATATCCAGTCTCCACTTGGCATGTTGTTTTGTGAGAATGTCAGCGGCTTGTCCATCGCCTGATGCTCGGGCGGTTCCACTTGGAAACGTTTCTTCCATGCCGCCGTAAGATCAGCCCAGGTGATGAAGTTGTGTAGCTCGGAGACTGTACATGCATGTGCGGACAACATGTTGTCCAGCCATGCTTGGCACGCACCTCCTGACCGGGAGCATAAGTATGCGTGCCGGTTTGTGTGGACGACATGGTGGATGTCCAGCTTTAATTCGAACTGGCGCCACCACGGTATAGGCTCCGTCTTCGATGCATCACAGAAGATCAGGAGCCCTTCAAATTTGGGGATGCTCTCACGACGCGCTGAGCTCGGTGTGGCTGCTGCCCCCACCTGCTGGTCCAGTCGCTGAGTCTCGGTCTTGAGCGTTCCCACGTCTATCTCCAAGACGTTGACGCGGTCGACAAGGTCGGAGGGGCCGGCGCTGGAGGTGGCGACTGGTCGCTTCTCCAGCTGTCATATGCGCTTAGTCAGCGCCTGGTTGACGTGGTCGAGGGAGTGAATGTCCTCCTGCTGTGCAATACAAGTAGCGAGGAGGTCCGTGACGCGGTTGAGCAAGAGAGCAATCCTTGCCATGTAGTCAACGGAGTCTCCATTCTCGGCCTCCTTCTGCCAATCCTTGGCCTGTGCGTGTGATGCAGTTTCCTCCTTGAAGAGAATCTCCCGCCGCCGTACGCGTTCTTCATTTGCGGCCTTTGCTGCTGCTGCTGCGTGCTTCTGCCATTGATCTTCGCCTACCCGACGCAGCCTCTCTGCCTCTGCCTCCTTCTTCCGTGCTGCTGCTGATGCTTCTGCCCGTTGCTTGCTTTCGGCCATGATGGCCGCCAAATGTGCCTCATAGGCCTCGTCAGTCTCGCCGGCCTTCTGATCCATCCCTGCTGTCTGTGAACGAGTGAGCAGGGTCATGTACCGCGAGTGACTGACGTGGCCTGCCAAAGTAGGCACTTACCAAGGCTGTGGCCAGACTGATGAGCAGTTCAGCAAGAAGAAGAGGATAAGGAGTTGGGAGGGAGAGGTGGGGAGTGGGGAAATCGAGTGAATCGCCCAGATAAGGAGCCACTAATCAAAATTGAAAAGTTGGAACTTTGCAAAAATTTCGAGAAAATAAAAAATAAAATTTCTCGGTTGCAAGTTTGGTAGGTCTCCTATATTTCCCCACAACAGGTATTTCAAAAAAAAAATCGAATTTCAGAAGAAATAACGAATGGAGATGATAGAAAAATAACTGAACTGCGAAAAGAAAATAAATAAAAAAATTCCGCAAGTTCGGAGAATTCCGAAGCATAAAAAAATTCGGAATTCCTCCAATGAGAGTATGCGCAGTTTGAAAACAACTGACTGCAGAGTAATTTTCCCGTAAAAAAAAATAATTTCCGAATACGGGAATAACGGTCAAATTTCAAAAATTCCGTTACTCCCGAAATGCGTGGGTAAAATAACACACAAATTTTCGGAAATAAGTTCGAAATAGAGAATTACAAAAAAAATTCGAAATTTCGAATTAACAGGAATTTGTGAAGGAAAAGATGAATCGAAAAAAAAATCGTAATATTTTCGGACCTCCAGCACCGAAATTTCGAATTTCATAAAAACAAGAAAAACAAAACTTTCCGATGCTACGTTATTGCGATATTCCACAAATGAAACGATTTCGGCAGTTAGGTCAAAAATCTGCGATTTTGGGGACTAATTAGTGTCCTCAGCAATCAATCAATCAATCAATCAATCAATCAATCAATCAATCAGTGATCAGTTAACCAATCAATCAATCAATCAATCAATCAATCAATCAATGATTAATCAATCGATCTTTGATTGTCCCCGCGCTTGTGTCAGATCAGGTTTGTCCTGATTCGCAAGCGGGGCTCCGATACCAAACTGACGCATGCCCGATGGGACAATGCGTAGGGAGCCAAGGATCCGCAATGTGATGAAAAGGACTGAAATGGACAATGCAAGGTCAGC